GTGATAGCCAGCATGGCCAGGAAAAGGTACATGGGCTCATGCAAACTTGGCTCTGTCTTTATAATGAAGAAGATGATGATGTTTCCCACCACAGCAATGGCATACATAATGCAGAAAGGGAAGGCGATCCAGAACTGGGTGGCCTCCAGGCCCGGGATCCCATCCAGGAGGAAGGCAGCAGGGTGTGAGAGAGTACTGGCATTCAGCATTGACATGACAGGCTGTTCATCTGTGGCCTGGGCTGAAAGGTCTTTCTTTCCATGGGAAGAAGCGCCCCAGAACCTGTAAGCATCAAGTAAATTAGCAGGTAACATGAGAGGAAGTGAATCATCAAGTCAATTAGCAGGTAACATGAGAGGAAGTGAATCACTGAAGAGAGAATCAAGTTCCTTTCTTGGAAATACAGCTTCATTCTCAGGACAGTGATTTACACACAGTCACAGGAACTAAAGGTGACAAAAACCCATTGGCATTAAAACACCGTTAGACATATTAAAGCATTCAGAGATTAATCAGCTTTTCACCCACGTAAATTAAGAGGAGTTTTGCCCTTCATTTTAGCAGAAGCAGTCAGGCAAGGGCTGAGGGTTTTTTGCAAACCTCATCCTATCGATATGATGCTAGTATTGTATCATTGTCTTTTGTGCATTTCCCTTGGCCAGCTGAGATTTATGGTTTACGGAACATTTTATTGCCTTTCAAAGTCAGTGGTACTTCTATTTTCCCCTTTCTTACTTCTGTCTCATTTCACCCCGTAATACCCATGAACGTTGCATTGAATGATGCCTCTCCTTGGAGAGAAGGAAAAAGAAATGACAACATAACGTGAAATCAGGAGAACTGTGAGTGCATGACTAAGTTGGTCAAAGGCCTAGCCTGGCCCCTTGGGCTAGTGTGGCTAAGGCTCACCACTTCCTATAGCGAACTGGCACAAACAGCAATGCTATGCTCAACATTATTTCCAACCACAGAACCTGAAATCAGACAAACCACGAGTGCAACATGAAGTTGCTCTGAATTGTCTCCAAAGCTTTGGAGTCAACCATCTGCAACCAGATCATCCTAGCCAGGGCTTTGTCTCACTTGGTTTTAAAAACCTCCAAGGATATAGATCCCACCACCTCTCTGGGAGCCTGTTCCAATGCTTTACTGCCCTCCTGGTGAGAATTTTTTTTCCTACTATATAACTTAAACTTCCCTTGCTGAAATTTGTAATATTGGGGTATCTACAACAAAGATGTGTTTGATTGGTGCCTAGGGCAGATATTACTTGATGGGGTGTTTGCAACTGCGTGTGGCAGGCTTGGTTTCACATGGTCTTCATGTGGCTAATTATAGTGTGGGCCCTTGTTCAAGGCTCATGGTTAGCCAGAACAGCCTTATAAAAAGCAGCTCCTTGTGAAGAGAAGCACTTGCAAACTTTTTGGAGGGCAGGATTATACTCTAATAACATGCTTTAACATTTCAGATGGCAAAATGACATGTAACAAAGTCCAATGTAAGGTGGTGCCAAATTTTCTCAATTGATCAGTCAATTGACCGCATATTTTTGACTGTTCAAAAATAGTAGAAAATGTACACCACCACAAAACAAACAAAAACCCCCAAACCCTATATTTTTTGTAGTTTTGTTTCAAGAAATATAATTTATTGCTTTTTGACATATATTAATTAGAAATGTGTTCTTTCTGTGCTTTTCGGGGAGTCTATTTGCTTTTTTTTTCTTACAAGATTTGACTAATATTTGACCGGTCAATTGACTGAAATTCATTAGACTGGTCAAATACCCAACCCTGATCTCCTGAACAGCTTTAAGATGCCCTTCCGCTTCTGCCTGTTATGTTGTGCTTGTGCAGTGTTTGTGGTTGTGTTTCCATGAAGTGCATGCAATACGTGTGTGTGTGTGTGTGTGTGTGTGTGTGTGTGTGAGTGAAAGGAGCTTGTAGGACTGCTCCTGATCAGCGTTTTCGTCCAAGGAAAAAATCAACAGCTCCTGCTATTGCAAAAGAAAAGCCAAAGAGCTGCCCTGAACCCAGACAACTCACCTGTGTCCTGGTGCAGCAGGAGTGAGGACTCCCTGCCTGGGATATGCAGGGGGATCAGCCACTCCGAGCAGGGGATATTTATGTTGCCTCCCTGTGAAGCCCCAAACCAGCTGGGACCGACTATACTCAGATGTGCCTGTTATTTACTCCTGCCTCCAGCCTCTATTAACCCTTTCAGTGCTAGGGACTTTCATCCTGCCATTCGTTGCTTAGATTTTTCTCCAGAGGGGTAATTTGAGGGAAGTCTCTTGCAGTCACATAATAAAGGACTGTATCGGAAGGCCTGCATAAGGAGGCCGTTTAAGATGGCAAGGGGAACCTGAATTCATGCATCTCCTACATAATAATTATGCTTATGGTGATAAATACGTTAAGTAGCACTTTTTAATTCATGGGCTGGCCAAAGAAGGGTGGGTGAAATGCCCATCAACTTGCTAATTTCTTCTCTCATCTGTTTTCTGACAGCTGAAGTGCACGACTGGGGGAGACTCCACTGCTTCCCCAAGGTTGGGATTGACAACCAGCAACCTGTGCTCATATTACCTCCGTGGAGCGGTCGGACAAGGGCTGAACATGTGTCCCCTAACACCATGTGGAGATACCCCTCACTCCTGGCATGAAAATCCCTAACCTTGCCATGCAACGTTGGCACTGCTTCATCTTGGGAACGATCGCATTTTAACTGCAGGTAACACATCCTCAGTGTCACTGCAGCATGGCCCTTAGACTCCCTATGTCCCAGGGAGGCACTGAGATCCCAAATGTAGATGTCTGAAATCTCTCTGACACACAATCATAGAAGACTAAGGGCTGGAGGGGACCTCAAAAGATCATCGAGTCCAACCCCCTCCCTGGGCAGGAATACTGCTGACATCAAATGATCCCAGCAAA